TTGTAAAGCGTCCACATAGTTCTGTTCACTCATGATCATATACGTGATGTGTGGCAATCATTGGAAGGTGTCTGCATGGTTCTGTTTACTCATGACCATAAAGGCGATGTGGGACAATCATTGTAAGATGTCCACATAGTTTTATTCACTCATGATCATAAAGGCGATGGGTGACTCTCATTGCAAGGTGTCTGTATAGTTCTGTTCTCTCATGATCATACAGGCGAAGTGTGACAATCATTGTACGATGTCTGCATATTTATCTTCATCTCATGATCATAATTGCGAATAGGCAATGTGTGACAATCATTGAAGGCGTCCACATAGTTCTGTTCACTCATGATCGTAAAGGTGATGGTTGACAATCATTCAAAGGTGTCCGCATAGTTCTGTTCACTCATGACCAATTAAACGATGTGTTACTATCATTGTAAGATGTCTGCATATTTATGTTCACTCATGATCATAAAGGCCAAGAGGCAATGTGTGACACTCATTGTAAGGCGTCTACATAGTTCTGTTCACTCATAATGATATAAGTGATGTGTGACAATCATTGTAAGGTGTCTACATAGTTCTGTTCACATATGATCATAAAGGCGATGTGTCACAAATCATTGTAAGGTGTCTTCATAGTTCTGTTCACTCATCATCATATAGGCGATGTGGGACATTCCTTGTATGGTGTACGTATAATTCTGTTCCCTCATCATCATATAGGCGATGTTTCCCAATCATTGTAAGGTGTCTGCTTGGTTCTGTTCACTCATGATCATAAAGGCGATGTGGGACAACAATTGTAACATATCCAAATAGTTTTGTTCACACATGATCATAGAGGCGATGTCTGACAATCATTATAAGGTGTCTCCCTAGTTCTGTTCACTCATGATCATATAGGCGATGTGTGACTAGTCATTCTAAGGTGTCTGCATAGTTCTATTCACTCATGATCATAAAGGAGATGTGGGACAACCATTGTAAGATGTCCAAAGAGTTTTATTAATTCATGATCATGAAGGCGATGTGTGACAATCAATGTAAAGTGTCTACATAGTTCTTTTCATTCATGATAATATCGGTGATCGGTGACAATCATTGTAAAGCGTCCACATAGTTCTGTTCACTTATCATCATAAAGGCGATGTGGGACAATCATTGTAAGGTGTCCACATAGTTTTATTCACTCATGATGATGAAGGCGATGTGTGACAATCATTGCAAGGTGTCTTCATATTTCTATTCACTCATCATCATATAGGCGATGTGTGACATTCCTTGTAAGATGTCCGCATAGGTCTGTTCACTCATGATCATATAGGTGATGTGGGACAATCATTGTAAGATGTCTGCATATTTATGTTCACTCATGATCATAGTGACAATCATTGTAGGGTGTCTGTATGTGTGACAATCATTGTAAAGGCGTCTGTCTAGTAATCATTCTGTTCACTCATGATCATATAGGTGATGTGGGACAATCATTGTAAGATGTCTGCATATTTATGTTCACTCATGATCATAGAGGTCAAGAGGGTATGTGTGACAATCATTGTAAGGCGTCTACCTAGTTCTGTTCACTCATGATCATCAAGACGATGTGTCACAAATCATTGTAAGGTGTCTTCATAGTTCTGTTCACTCATCATCACATAGGCGATGTCTGACATTCCTTGTAAGGTGTCCGCATAGTTCTGTTCACTCATGATCATATAGGTGATGTGTGACAATCATTGTAAGGTGTCCGCATAGTTCTGTTCCCTCATAATCATATATGCGATGTCTGACAATCATTAAATGGTGTCTCCCTTGTTCTGTTCACTCATGATCAAATAGACGTTGTGTTATAATCATTGTAAGGTGTCTTCATAGTTCTGTTCACTCATCATCACATAGGCGATGTGTGACAAATCTTTGTAAGGTGTCCACATAGTTCTGTTCACTCATGATCATAAAGGTGATGGTTGACAATCAATGTAAGGTGTCCGCATAGTTCTGTTCACTCATCATCATATAGGCGATGTGTGACAATCATTGTAAGATGTCTGCATAGGTCTGTTCACTCGTGATCATAAAGCGATGTGTGACAATCATTGTAAGATGTCTGCATAGGTTTATACACTTATGGGTTTTTTTGCCTAATGTAACAGCTATATATCACTATTCGTGTTGATGGTTGCTTCAGCAAATATGGTATGACTGCTGCATCTAACCACTATTGGAATTTGGTAACGGATACTTATGACAAATTCACGACATATGTTGTAATTTGTTGCGTATGATCTATACACATGACACATGAGCGATATGTATCTAGTTTGTATTGAACGTGGTTGTTAATATTCAATACTCATGACATAGCCAAGGCATGTGGCTATATTTATTAATGGCTGCATAGACCTGCACTCATCATACAACAGCGGTCGAAGTGATCATTCTAGCCGAGGCTATTCTTTCATTATGCTATTTGAGTGCGTTGAACGGGGTTTCAGATGTATTATGGTGTATGAACTCTCAGTTGGCAATCCATATATTTGAAACCCACACACGTATCCCTGTGAAGAACACCACGAGAAGGGTATGTGCACGTACACCAAAGGGACGCAACTCTGCAAATCGGTTTCTTTGAGGACATCACTGACCATCACGTGTCGTTGAAACTTGAAATCAAACTGAATGACTGTGAGACACTGTTCAAATAAAGGATAACATAAGATCTGATCCCCAGAAAAGAAATGCGCACAGCGTCATGTATTTCCCTAATCTTATTTGTTGGAAAATGATGATTCATAACGAATAGCAGTTGTGACAGTTCTGACACCCAAATCCCTTGCCACAAATCATCTTATGACGCCATGCAATATACATTGTATAGTTTTTTCCAGATTTATTTTTTAATTGGGAAAGTCTTATATTTTAGCTCCTCGATATATCTTTACTGGATAGAATATTGATCTTCAGTCACCCAAGAAGCGACTAACGGGATTGGGTGGTCAGGCTCGCTGACTTGGTTGACACATGTCATCGGTTCCCAATTGCGCAGATAGATGCTCATGCTGTTGATCACTGGCTCGTCTGGTCCAGACTCGATTATGTACAGACCGCCGCCATATAGCTGGAATATTGCTGAGTGCGGTGTAAAACTAAACTTACTCACTCACTCTTTACTGGACAGACGCATTCGCAACCACTACCATTAACAACCGTAATACACTCATCCGACCATCCATCGACCCACTCAGTCAGTGTGTCGAATCTGCCATCAGTACTAATAACTACATGTATATGAGATTGTAACTTCAGAATCAATATTACTGCTCGTAGTGTACGTGTCAAATGGGAGATTTTGCATTATGCATACATAAAGTGTTGGTTTTGGAAATTCAGCATAATGCTCCGATATATATTATTAATATCTAAAGTGTACACTGATGAATTCTTCACAAAGAGGTTGGTTAATTCAGAAACGAAATTATGTTTTGGGCAACAGGTAACAGGTTTCTAATAAAAAGTATCGAAAAGAAGATGATGTTGTGTATGCTTTTTTCCAGTGAACACTGTTCGGACAGAGACATGAAATGACTTTCTTTCACTTTTATATTTATTGTTTAGGACTTGGCAGAATCTTGTGTTGTCAACAGTCACATGTCCAGCTCTAGTCAATATCATAAATGTGTTATTATATATACATTCATCAAGGCTTCTCTGATATATTCAGCATGGTGTACTATTCGTGTAAAGGCTTCTCTGATATACTCAGCAAATGGATAGATGAGTGAGTAAACCAGGTGTCAAGACGTGTTAATGCTTCCCTGATATATTCAGCATGGTGTACATTCAAGAATAGGCTTCTCTGAATGTACTCAGTAATGGATTAGATGACTGACTACACCAGGTGTCAAGACCTGACGAGGATTCTCTCAAATAGTCAGCATGGTGTCCATTCGGTATAGGCTTCTCTGATATACTCAGCAATGGATGACTGACTACACCAGGTGTCAACACGTGTCAAGGCTTCTCTTATATAGTCAGCATGGTGTCCATTCGGGTATAGGCTTCTCTGATTTACTCAGCAATGGATGACTGACTAAACCAGGTGTCAACACGTGTCAAGGCTTCTCTTATATAGTCAGCATGGTGTCCATTCGGGTATAGGCTTCTCTGATTTACTCAGCAATGGATGACTGACTAAACCAGGTGTCAACACGTGTCAAGGCTTCTCTGACATATTCAGCAATGGAATACGGATTACATTTAGTGTCCATACGTGTTGTTGCAGAGAAGCTTGTCAGATATTTGAATAGTATTGACTGGAAGAATTGGGAACATGATGTCTTCCACACACGCATGCGCACACGCCCACACACCTTGCCCATGCAACATACGTCCGTAACAAAACAACCACGAAGTAAAGGCGGGCGTTGATGTCCAATGAATTATATGTGGCCACAGTTATGAGCAATATGTGTAAGGTTTCATAACCACATGTACACCTGTTGCTCAGTGGAGGGCACTGGCTTCACAGTGCTGTCAAACCAGGCTGTTGTTCTTCCTCCGCATTATTCGCTCAACGGCGTCGTCATTTCACGTTTACAGCCGTCAATTAACGATATTTGCAATATCACGTAGCAATCATCCCATTTGATGGCTTGTGGTTTTCGCAATGTACACACCAGTGAAGGGAACATAAATGGCAACATCTTGACATAAAACACTTCAACCTCGGCTCCGTTTTCAAGCGTTAGCTAGGTCCCACAATACACGTGTAAAATGCATTTTGTCACGTGAGTAAATTGACTCAAATACCCAAAAGAAAGGCACTTTCAAGACAATTAATGTTTCCTTATTGGTGCATGAGATGTAAGATAATAGCACGCTGAACGAATAATAACGCATTGTACTCAAATGGGGAACAAAAATAAAGTCCTCGATCTGGAAAAGACCTCATACATCACTTGTCAGCTCTTGCTCCAGAAATAAGTAAGAACAGAACAGGTACGTGGACGACAAAAATATTTTATTTGCGCGACCAAATGATGAGATGGGTAAACGCATGTGAAGTGTATTTGTACTCGAGGTAGATAGAAGACATAGCTCCCTGAAAGGGAGGGGCTTAGACAGGCAAACCCCATGTGCTCAATACACACCAGGATAAACTTACATGTTTGGACTACCTACATAAAGGTAAAGTTATATACAAACATAAAGGTAGGAATTATCTAAGATAATTGGTACACTGCTGTGAAAGGTCATCCCTAACATCAGCTGGTCACCAACACTACTTTTTAAATGTCCAAGATAACGTTGTTCGCTAACTTTGGAATGAAATCATTCTTTTTTAAATAAATTAGACCGATTTGCAGAAACAAACCAATGAGGTGATTTGTGTTACACAATGTCAATAATATCAATATTTAACAAATATTTTAGTTAATAGCAAGATTACCCGTCTCACAAATATATAATATAGATAACACAGCATGAAAATATGAATTTCCAATGAAATGAAAACAGTTGGAAAAAGGCGGCAACCTGAAACGTTGTATGATTCCAGAATATTTCCACTCGATTTCCTTATAGGAAAATCCACCTCTTCTGTGAATACAAGTAACATACCTATCAAAATATGGCAAATTCTGAACAGAGAGCACGTCTTATTCATATATGAACCCGTTTTGTAGATCATTATACATATTTACTCTACTTTGACATAAAGAAATAAACCATCAATACAGAAACTACATTCTACTGGAGATGTAATAATTCACACACGTCTAGCTGAACCTAATTACACAAATCACGACATACATGCATATGAAATATGAATGTAAATTAGGCAAAAACATCTGATCAATTATATGACAAAACACTACAACTATGCAAGCAAGTTTCTTTTCAAAGCTGACTGTTATATTACGACCGTAACGAGCTACATTTTCTATCATACATTGTCTTAGTAATTGTCCAGCATTTGTATTGTAATCTGTCAATGTAAAAATTGTTGAAAGAAGAATTCCATTGCTGACTTTGTCAAACAGGAATAAACAAAAACATAGATGGCAATTAAAACATGATATTATTTGTGGTATATTTATAAAAAATAAAAGAATTAGTTTGGATTTTTTTGTAAAAACGAACACCCGAGTAGCACTGTAGCTAAGCTAAAAACATTAACAATCAGTATGTCTCACAAATATAGTACTATTACCATGCATTTAACAATCAAATGACAAAAACCTATCAGGAAATAGTTTACTTTAACAACCATGTTCACGGAGCAAAATGTTCTAAACAATATATTTCCACTCATATTACTCCAGAAGAATGCATGACCACAATTCCATATGATATTTTGAACGAATGTTTATGTATATAGCACTTTCTAAAATGGAAACAATAAATTCGTAAAATAGTAACCGCAATCGTCACATACCACACGCAACATGATGTTAGCATCCACAATATGTCACTACCTTACTTTTCAAATCATGGTAGACAATGATAAATCTCATTGATTAAGATATCATATGGAAGAAAATAATATGACACTTGGAATTTGAACTAGGAGAACGATGCACGCTCCCATCCAGGCACTAAGAGATGACGCGATCTATGGCACCAGAGTAAAAACGAAACAGCACTTAAAATGCAAATTAAGGCAACGATAACCCAAATCATTACAGATGGAACGTATGTATATGCTAAAAGAACAAAACCTGATTTGAGGTCGTCTACCACTTCAACAACGGCATATTGAAACCCACAAGGCATTTTGTATTGAGTCGCTCATAAAGGCATGTATGTTCACATGCACAAAACATGTACGTGTTTACCAGAAAACAGAGAAACACGTCTACAGTCAATAGGAACACGCAACTGAAATTACCAGGAACTAAATATCTTGAACATAATGTGATACCACCTTCCTGGTCAGGAATTATCTAATGCATTGATGTGGAAGCTGAATAAATGTCCTGGATAGCATACATTCCAGTTTTGCAGTTTCCTTATGTGCTTACTTGATAGAAAACAAACAGAAAGGTCTCCTGATAATAACGGTCGAATGGAATAAAATCAGACTGATATTTAAGCATGGGTAGTGAATGTATATAAAACAAGCTTTCTTAAATATCAAATTCAACAATATCTGTAAAAGGAGACATTACAAATAACAAAACATTTGCTTTAAGAAGGCATAACTATGTATAAATTTGCACCACAGTTGCCAGGAGTCCTCCATACCGGAGTAAGTAAGAGGTAAAAAATAATAAAGTGAGATAATGTGCTTGCTATGTACAAATTGGCCTTCTTTGGTTCTCAACCATTCTATCTTTAGCATGACATGATACTGTGGATTAATTTCAAATATTTGCTTGAATCAAGATGTTTTGAAATTATGAATGTCCAAATCGTGATAAATAAGATTACATTTCTTGGAAATGACAACGATTGAGAACCATGAATGTCTGACCTGAACAGTGAAAAACATACAGTGAAGAAACATTTGAAACACAAATATGTTTGGGCTATGAGTTACGCAGGGGAGACGTGGAGAAATCAATATTTCAGCTTATTAACAGTTACTAACTACGTCGGGATATTTGTAGCATAGATACATGAATAATCTTTCGATATTAGTGCCAAAATAACATTGTACATACAGACGGATTGATCGGACAGACAATGGTTTATCTCTCGTAAATAATATGATTTACGTTTAATTTATGAAGAAACTGAAATGAGAACAGATAGTTCCACATACTGTCATTTAGTATTATTTTTGTAACAACTCTTCTTTTCTAATCGTTTTGTTTCGATGCTATATTTAATACTACCTCACAAATGATGTTACGTAGTTGTGGTGAACTGATTTAATGCCCGTTGATGTAAATTATGTCTACGTGTGTCTGGGACATTCTTGGTGCTCATAGGAACACTTATTTATGATACAATCGCAACTATTACTAGCTTCTCCATAATTATTAAACATGCCTTAAACTACTGGCAACTTGAGAGATCGTCCCCGATGGTATCTGCTGCTGCAGAACACTAATCTGAACGAGAACAGGTGTTTTTAGTTGGCATTGACCATAAGCTATCCATCTGCCATGCCCAGCATAACCGTAAACAGTTCCGTATATTAAATGAGGTAGTTTTTAATATGAAAACAATAACAACATATGAAAGTATCTTGAAAACAAAACAAAATATTCATCTGGGTTAGCCCTGCATTCTTTTGAATCGTGGGGATGGGAATGAATATTTTTCCAAGTTTCACTGAAATTGGAACATCATTCCTTTGTAGGTTTGTTTCTGAGATGAAACAATTGACTCGAGTGGATGATTAAATATGCTGAAATATGTTCCCTGTGCATGTACTGACGCCTTGAATATTACGTAGGTTCCTTATATTCATGCCAAAGTACTAAACCTTCCACTGAAGACGTGATGCATACGATACACACATAATTGTCCCATCATTACCAGACTATCCGACAAATACACGTTACATCAAACAGGAAACAAAAATAACCCATGGTTGTGGATTGGTCAAAACATGACACACGATACAGATATGAAACCTGAGTTATCCATACGCGAGAAATATTGTACAAAGGTTAATGCAATAGTTGCACAGACGCCACCCGTGTTTGGTAAACAATGCCTGGTGTGAAAGAGGTAGCAAAATATGTTTTAAAATGCTTTCATCTGAGATTTCTTCCGTGTGTTGTGTTCTGTTCAAGATCTTTTGAAAGATACTTTTTATGTCTGAGACACAGATTATGTAATGTCGTTTTCATTATGAATCCAATGTTGATATTGTATTGTACCACTTGGGAGGTCTCGTCTTTGATCAATAAATAACCAACTAGGCAGGCGTATTACCTGATTAATTACATATATATCGACAACCTTAAACAACGATTCCAAATGGTTATTTTGGCGATGAACCATCTACCTGAATATGATTAATTATGGCATATGAACATAAACATCTATGTATATATTTGTGCATTACCAGTTGCCATATCCTATCGACACATTTGCCAAGACACACTCAACGATGAAGGGGCAATACATAATACACTGTTTCAACTGACTACTCGCCTAGAACAAAGACAGAAAAGATGTTTAAGAATCTAGTGATCCAACCCACCAATGATACAGTCGTGTGAAAACTATCGATAAATATATTTCTAATAACCTGATTTAAGTCCAATGTCAGTGAATATTTGGATTACCCCTTCATCAAATACCGTTATTATCGCAGTGCAACATACATGTGAATACACTTCAAAGCACAATGTAGATGTAACACTTTTTTCCTGAGAAATCGGGGACCTGATTTGTGGAGCCCTGTTTTCAGGAACAGAGGACACCATAAGTTCACAAGCTTCTACACAGCTTCGTAGTTCATAACAATGTCATTGAAGTTGAGCATAACGGACCTGGGAGTGACGACACGGACATTTTCAGCTCCAGAGCACAGCTGAATTCACAGGTACTTCCAAACGGAATTTGAAGTTCGCACCTCGGACCTTTAGGATTCCAAGGAACAGGATGTTAGTCATGTCCAAGTTCAAAATACACAGACACGTTCACATACCAAAAAGGGCGTGCATACAGGAGTTGCTGGTGACAACGGCTCATGGTGCTCAGGTAGAACTGTCACAACGATTTTGAAGCGCAAGAAATGCTCAATGTTGATTGAATATAAGTTGTTTAAGAGCTTGATGAAGTGTCCGGTGGATTAGTGGGGTGTTGTTGTTTAATTACATGTTCCACCTTTTTCTTTTCAATAAGATCCCTGAGCTGTTTCACTTCTTCTGTCAATCCGTCCATTTCATCCCTGAGCTTGTTGTTTTCTCCTTCGAGGTAATCTGATTTGGCTTCACGAAGTCTTGTTAGAGCCTTTCGGTTTTCACGACATTTTCGTGCAGCTTCGTTGTTGCGGCGGCGTCTCTCCAGATATTTTGGATCAAGCATTTTAGGATCGCCATCTCCGGAAACCGATGCTCTTCGTGCCATTCTAGAACTGTAGTCGCGAGCTTTCTTAACAAGAGGTAGCGGGTTTGCTTGAGCCAGAGCTATTTCCGAAAGTTGAGCGAGGCCATCCATGTACGGATGCGTGGAATATGGTGAAGAATTGCTAGATGGCGTGTAGAACTCTTTGTGTCTAAGCTTTAAAGGTAATGTTGTCGGGGGGCTTCTGGAATCAGCAGAGTAATGCATGCGGTTGGGTAACATCATATCTTTGCCAGTCGTGTTGACTGTGAGTTGGAGAGGTTCGTCCATGGCATCATCACTTGTGTAGCTGTTGCTGTTGGAATCCATCCATGTATCGGCCTGAGAATCCTGATCATGCAAATGATGTTGATATTCCCCTCTGATCGGCATCTCTGGAGAATGTGGAGGAGCAGTAGCAGATGGACCGCTCATACAAGCATTGATGGGCCTGTCTCTTTCTTCGCCGGGCTCCTTCTTTACAGCAACCTGGTGATATAGAGAAGCTGATCGTGATGCTACTGTTGATGCTGGGACTGGATCTTGAGGCTCGGAATTCATTCGTTCATCTGACCTAGCTCTATAGGGGTTCATTTCGTGATTCATTCTACTGTGAGCTTCAGACGATGGCATGAGGTAGTAAGGGAACGCTGCACCATTGGTGTATGGTATGCCCTGTACAGGAACAGACATGGGAACTGCCCCAGCCACTGCAAGCAACGGCGGGGGCGAAGTATATATGGTTGCCTGACTCAGAGCGTCAGGATGAGGAGCATGAGGTTTGGTTGTCACATTTTCTCCGGGTCGTGCAAGAGGAACCATTCCTGGTGGTGGAGCAGACGTTACCGAGGTATCGGATTGTTCGTCATCCGACAGGGTAAAACATTTGTCCAGTGGAACCCCGAACTTCTTTTTTACTGCAATGAGTTCCTTCCTGAGTAAACGGTTCTCATCATTAAGGTCACATATCTTGTTCTCCAGTGCAAAATCGTGCAAACGGCGTTTCTCGCGAGATCGACGAGCAGCCTCGTTGTTTTTCCGACGTTTCTCCCAATAGCAGTTGTCTTTCCTATTTTCTGGAATGAACTCTCTCTGTTTCCTTGAAGGTATATAGGATTTGTCCGTGTTAGGGCTCCCAGGTGAACTCGACAAATAATCTTCACTCCTACTTTGGAAATCATTATGGTGCATGCTTGACATATGAGGTAAACTTTGACCGTTGTATTGTGAGGTAGCCGTGTCATCCGCATTCGTGTTATTACCACTGAAGTCTTGTTCTGAAGGTGAGGTAGACATTCTTGGTTGCTTGTGACGGGCTTCACCCTCCGTGTACATCATCAACCCCAGTTCAACCAGCTTTCTTTCACGAAAAGGCCCAAACCTGCAAAAACGAAACATGCCTCTTTAGGAAATAATACACCACAGCAAAAATATGTATGCCTACATCAATATTCATAACACAAAAAAGGAACTTGAATGAAGAATATTTAATCTGAGTAGAGATTTGCCATTCAACATACTCCATCATTATTACAGACCCTCTCAAACGATGCTGAAGGCATAACACGTGGGGTGTTGTTTGTGTGAGAAGATCCTTCTCTGGGTCATTTGTGATTCGTTTCTTCTAAACAAATATGTCCACTGTGTCTAAGACACTGACAGAATGAGCGATGTCAACGGATATAGGACACCCGAATTGCATTATACCAACAACCATGTAATTGTCTTTTGTTCCCCGGAGCCATATGTTTTACTCACCATAAAATACAAAGTGTTTAATGTATATAGGCTGCGGCGGGCAGTGTTACCGTCAATGTGCTACTGCAATAAGTTGCTATGCAGAAAGACAATGTATCATATGAGAACAATCCTCAACAGATGTTGCCAAAAATCAGTATATCAGATTTTTATTGTGATTTTCAGATATATTCCTTAAATAACCACGCAAAAATATAACTATTATTCGATTGGTGAGTGTGTGTGTGTGTGGTGGGGACAGTTGGGAGCTCGGATGTTTGACCTCGTGTAGTGTTATTTATCATAATAAGGCTTGCAGCCTATATATTACCTTTCAAAAGACAGACAAATGTTCTTGTTGCTCAAATGCTATACATTTTTAATAAGTTACTTTTCAAAGCCCTGTTACACCCACTCACTCACTCACTCTTGAAATGAACATAAATGCAATCCATTAAAAACCCAATGCACCACAATGATGACACTGATTTCATAATGTGTTCTCTGTTTTCTAGATGATGGCGTTGAATGAATAACAAGTTGGCTGGTCAATAACACCGTATTGAAATGCAATTTCAACATCCAGTAATAATACTACTGAGTGAACGGGATGTTTATATAACGATGTTTCGTCACAGTAGTTACATAAACTGATCCGGAATCGGAACTGCGCAGGAATTCTTAGGAGCACAATAGGCATTTACACACAATACGGGCGGCCGTCTTTCATGCTGCTTGCATTCAACTATCCATTGATTCACCTGAAGATGTGTAAAAAATGTACGTCTATGTCAAAAAGCTATATAATCCATTGTATTAACTATTGAAACCATTTACATCAAACTCCTGGTGACCAAAGCAGCGATCGTTAACTGAGGTTTGTTATTGTTCGTCAAATTCTATTCCCCGTTTCCTTGCTCGCTGGGCAGTGCGGCTATCTCACACTACCATCGATCGACCTAGCAGCGCTATCAAGGTGAAGGACATCCTGCTGTTACTCCGTTCCATAATGCCACTTTGAGGGCCTCCACCGGTAAAAAAAAATATGCATGAAGAAAGCCCCCGTAAGCTCATTAAAACGTCACGCACCAAAAACTGACGCTTTGCGGAGATATAAAAAAAACTCAAAATGTAATCATTATGCAAGCTGCAAGATGAGAAAGGTCTGATTACTAACTGGTATAAATGTCAGTTTAGGCTTCTCCCCCTCGTTTTGACCCCGCTCTTATGCGCTGTGACTCAAACTGTTTACGTCAAAAGCGGTCACGGCGACCTGTTCTGGGTTTTTATGTCACAGAGTAAGCGTTGCGAAGTACTTGGCAACGTATCAAGCCCCCTTTTGGGACGATACTGGGTAATTCTGCATTACATAAACCCATTCTGCGGTGGATATTTTGGCAATTTGTTTTATATAATAACGTCTTATCAACATGGTATGTTCCACTTTAATAAATTTGCGGATTTCGGAAACTGCGCATTATTAAACATGCCTAAGGGAAGACGTAGAGATTAAACCTAACTAACTTGACAGACAGATAACTATGGACATACCTCATCCCAATACATTATTCACAGAGAAATCGAAAAATTGTGTCCGTTTATAATAAGGCAGTGTACATATCAATTGTTTGAACGTACAATATCCTTTCGTACAACACCTACAGCATAATGCACCTAACATGGCACGGTAACCAGTTACCACTATAATTGCTTATCATAGTATTTGTAATTAAACGTTCCTATTCGAATAAATAGATATACTCATACAAATCCTTGCAAAGCAATAGTGATATAAAGGCTTCATATTCCACAACACCTTATGATCTCTAAGATTATATACAGTTTCCAGCCTCTGCCAAGACAAAATCGTATGTTGTACGTATCTTTGTAGCGTATCGGTGAGTGCATATACAGAACTACACCTACATTTAGTCCCAGAAATATAGTTATATATACAAAAAATATAGTTATATATAAAAATAAAATATGGTTATACATAAAACATATAGTTATATATAAAAATAAAATATAGTAATTCATAAATAAAATATGGTTATACATAAATAAAATATGGTTATACATAAAAAATATATATAGTTATATATAAAAATAAAAACAATATATTTGTCAACAAAACAAATCTAAATGAAGCCCAGAAAAGTGCTTATTTTCTGGAGCTGAAATAATCCAGACTTGCCAAATTATTCCAGACTTGAGCTGGACTCAAGTTCTTTTCAGTATCTAGGGTCAGGAAGACAGACTAATACAGACTTAAGGAATGAGGACACTTTTTATGGATATACAATTTCTTTCTTCTGTACAGGCGACATTTCGACATAGATTCTAATGTCGTTGCGATTCTAATGCTTGACAACGGTATAAATGTCAGTTTAGGCTTGTATTGTATTGCATTTCCATAACAGAAATTGTCCTTATTCTTCATCTTCTCAACTTCTAGAATGTAAATCAAAGAAGTAATACAGACTTACCATCAAACATTATCTCTACTCAAACATACAGTTTCACGACTCAAAGTAGTGATGTATTGAGTACCAACATTGACACATACATAAATATATCGCCTGACTTATGTTGACAATTTACATGGTATCTAATGCAAGACAGAGCTGATTTGAATGGAGATCTCAGGGTCACGTCGAGCTATTGACCACTAGTTTCCAAGTTTCACCAGATGGACCAGATTCGTGTATACACGTGGATCAAGGTGGGTCACTGTGGTGCAGCGAACATACCATTAATCGGGTGAAATTAGACGTTCTAATTTCTAGGGTTTGGTACCCGCCCCACACTAAGGAAGTGACTTTGTCCGATATAAAATAGTTTGGTTCACCCAATACAGACTGGCTGCCCAGGAGGGTGAGATATGACTATTAACTTTACAGTCAGATTGGGTTGAATACTCCTCAGTGAGTTGAGAATGAAAATCGAATTACGTTGATCCATCGGCCAGGTAATAATACTACTGCATAGTTTAGTGTGTGGATTTGGCGCATAATAAATACGTACATTATTATCCGCGCCCATCTTAATGCAGCTGTCACACATTGGCATTTATTCAATAACATAAAGTTGTTATGTTTACAACATCGCACCGGAAACTAAGATATGCGCATATCTACAACTTGTTTACAACGCTTCTGGCCTCCATTTCACACGTCCAGTATGTGTGAATGCCCCTCAGTGCGAGGCGTGTACTCGCCTTGGATGTGCGCACGGATAGGAGATATTGAATTCTGAACAACAACAAACCAACACAAGCTGAGACGTGAACGTTTCAACGCTTCAATAACATAAACAATTCAGAGGTTTCGCTGTACGTAAAGGTTATTTACACAAATTTACCCAAAGAGGTATATCTGTTGGGCTTCGAGCATATCTATTGACAGATGATGAAGACTGTCTTTTTCAGTATACTATTTCGAAGTGTGTTTTTGTTGATTTTTGTAAGATTTGTCGTGTTTGTACGTGTTTGCATCGAGAAAAACGTTAACATTAAGTGAGTGAGTTTAGTTTTACGCCTCTTTTAGCAATCTTTCAGAAATACCACGGCGGGGGACACCAGAAATGGTCTTCACACATTGTACCAGTGGTTGGGAATTGAACCCCGGTCTTCAGCAGGACGAGCGAACGGTTTAACCACTAGGCTGCCCCACCGCCCAATTGACTTCCATCATGAGCAATACATGCATACTAACACGCCTACCTTGACCCAAAGAATTATTGTTCGTAGAAAAGTGTATTCATTAGGCTATGCATCAAATACATGGGCAATATACCCCACACACCACCACCACCACCTCTTTCACCAGGGTGTACAACGTGTGTCAGCATCCGGTGACATTTAATATAGAAATGACCGGTTGTTATTTCGCAAACAGCTGTCTTAATACAGGAACCAAATTGTACTTTCCACATTGGTTAATGTGTTCATTAGAAGCGTCTATGAAAGATGACAAAGTATGCACATAACCTCTCTGATTTCAATTTGATTTGTCTACCCAAACACGACACTAATTCGGGTGATCTTATTCCAACACATTCTCGCGCTTATTGAAGCATCGTAACTACCAATGCCCATATGTAATGACACCTAGGATATTGTTAACGTGAACACAGACAGGCTTAGTTCAGCGTTGTGTGAAACCGCCTGGGTTTTGTAGGATATGAATGGCGCTTATTATCGGGGTCTGAATGATTAAATGTTCCTTAATAATCTGCCCCAACCAATAGTATATGTTGGGCTTGTTTTGAGTGATTTCTTCTCTTTTTGCATTTTTTTGCAAATAAAGTATTTCCTTTTCAAATAAGAAAGTATTTTGTATTTAATAATACGTTAGGGTCTCATTGGTCATTCATTTAGGCATTTTACACGCCCACCAGGAATATCTTTTACGTTTTATCCTGTTAAAACTATTTTCTCTACGGGTTTCCGCCAAGTATGATTTGTCTAGGATCTTATGGTTATGAAATAGCTACTTTGCTCATGACATCCCTGATATACGTATATCATTCATCCAACTTTTTGTGCTGAACATTGCCTTAACGAACTTTTTGTGCTGAACATTGCATTAACGAACTTTTTGTGCTGAACATTGCATTAACGTAACGTGTGATGCTCTGTGA